AAGGACTGATTCTTGGAGCCTTTCCTGTTCATGCCGAACGCGTGCCTCTCTCTTAGTTGGCCGGCCTAAAGACCCACCACGGCCGAGTAGCTCACCTCGGGCCGAGTCGATAAGTATAAAGTGCGCCTCGGAAGGGAGCCGTGGCGCGAGTCCAAGGCGGTGATTTAAAAGTCCCGATCGTCTGGCGGAAGGGTAATCCACGAGAGTCTTGGCGCCGATCGAACCCGCGAATTTGGTTCTGAGATGTTCCAAAGGTGACCCACGGCTACCCTTGCAAAGTATGCCAGGTGAGAGTTAGGAATACCCCTCACCTGAGTTGTAATTGATTCGAATCGCCGCCTCTCCCGGTTAGTGAGAACTTGACGGGCTTATCTCCAATGTAGATACACTTAATAACTTAATGGTTCGGAAATGATGATATGATGATGATAGCCTTATTATACCGCTATGGTTAATATTGTTTGCTCCTAATAAGTGAGTGCTTTAGTACAAAAGCCAATCTAGTGGATGGTAATTAATGATAAGCTTGATAATCAGGTTTACATTGGTTACTATAATCATAAGCTTTTTTATGCAACGGTGCCAAGCTAGCCCACCGAAAAGCCTTGCATGATCCTTGGTGTCTTTTATTTCTGATTTTTGTCGGGTAAGTCTAGTGAGTACCTTCTCGTACTCGTGGTTTATTTCCCACCGCATTGCGATGACCAGCTTCTTCTTTGGTTGTCGCAAGTACGCCTTCTCCCCGCCGGGGATGAAGACTAGACCGTTGGCGCGGGTCTCTACTAGTTCTCGTGCTGATAATGCTTTTGTGGGACATGACTCGATCCGCAATGTAATTGAAACTATGAAGTTATGTACTAAACTATGTTGCTTCCGCACACTCAAACTTGGTTTGTAATATTTTATTTGAACTCGATGGATGTAATCCGAATGCTACTTGTGAAATGTTGTAACGAATGATGTGTTGTGTTGAATCATTACGATCTTGGTTTGTATGTCGAGAGTTGGTTGAAATCCTTCGTGATTTCCGGACTACCGGGATTATGGGAGCTTAAGTACAGGAATTTGATCGCTTCGGTGATTGTTTTTGTACTTACGTTCTTATGATTTGGTCGGTTCTGTTATAGTTCTGGCACCTGAAGATGATGGTGCCGCGCCCTTGGATTGCCACCCGTGAGCCGTCACCAAACTTCACCGTATCGGTAACATCGTCGTCGAGCTCAGAGAAGGATTCCTTGGAGCCTGTCATGTGGTTGCTAGTACCAGAGTCCAGATACCACTACTGCTCCTGGTCGGCGCCCACATGTCCGAGGTGGACTTGGGCGCGTGGTTCGTCGAGGTTGACGGTCTTTAGGGCCTTCCACCGTCGTCGCCTCTTCCCTCTCCTCGGCCTCGATGTCGTGCAGTGCACAGAACATCGCCATCAGGATAGTGGCCTCATCCTCATCATCGGCTTGCGCCAGGTGAGCCTGAGCCTTCTTCTCCTGCTTGCGATTTGGGCACTCCCGTGCCCAATGGCCCATCTTCATGCAATGCTGGTAGGCGTTGGGGTCGACCTGCTTCTTCTCCGAAGAAGCCTTGTCGCGGTGCTTGCCATCGCCACTGCGGCTGGAGGAGGCTACCTTCCCGGAGTTCCTCTGAGCAGCCCACTCCTCTTCCATCAGCAGGAGTTTCCCGCTGTCCTTCGTTGCTGTCGCCTGCTCCAAATGCTCGTCCACCGCCCGCAGACGGCCTGTCACATCCTCAATGGTGAGGGTGGACAAGTCCAGCATCGTCTCTATGGAGAGAGCGATCTGGATGTACTTTGTCGGCACGGAGTGGATGTACTTGGAGACTGCCTCCTCTTCATCGATGGTGATGTCGTAGCTCTTTAGCTTGCTGATGAGCATCTGTAGGCGGAGGGAGAAGTCCTCCACCATTTCACCATCCTTGAACTTGAGGTTGGCGTACTCCTGCTTCAGAAGCTTGGTCGTCGCCTTCTTTGTGCGGTCAGAACCGATGCGCATCGCCGCAATAGCCTCCCACGCCTCCTTAGCCGAGCTCTTCGCCCTCAATGGCTCCCTATACTCCGCCGGTACAGCAGCGAGGATAGCCTCCAACGCTGACATGTCATCTTCTTCACTGTCGGTGCCTTTGTCAACAGCATTCCAGAGCCGTTGGGCTCTGAGCTTGACCTTCATGGTCACCGACCACTCTCCATAGTTGGTGTGAGTCAGCATCGGCCAAATGGTGCCACTAACCTCCCGCATCGTGCGAACAACGACCTCCAGTATCTTGTACTGTTGTCGCCCATCTCCGAACCGTCCATCATCACCAGCGGTTAGTCTGGCGACGGCGCTTGTACGGCTCTGATACCACTTGTTGGCCTACAGGATCACCGGCTCAGGTGAGTGAACCACTCACTGGTCTTGCCGAGCACCCGCTAGTGTTGCCGAGCACCCGCTAGCCGTGTCGACCACGAACAAGCGTTGTCCGTCCCCACGCACTATGGCTAGAACTAGAAGAAGGGAGAACAGAGCATGCACACACAGTACAAGATACCAGCGTTGGCTGAATCCCTGTCTGGGAGATGGCAAATCTGAACTATCTTTACTGAGTTGTCGTGGTAGTCTATTTATACAACTATATCCATCTAGTCCCTGTACAGCTGCCCTGCTGCAACAGTGACTAGATAACATACAGGGCTGACTCTGTGCCGGCCTCTGCATATGCCTACAGTGCTGTAGGTGAGCAGTTCGGCGCCTGCACCTGCAGCGGCTACAGTATCACAGCAGGGGGCCTTTTCGGCGCCGCCTTCCTCTTGTTGTGTTCACACAAGGTAGCAGTAGATTATCTAACATGACCAAACACCATGCATGCATTCTGCTACATTGACATAAGCCTAAGTGACACACAATTTTATCAGTTCCTCATCTTGCCACATTCTAAGTCGTATTTTTTCCTTGATACTTTGGATTCAGCATCTCAAGGACAAAATTCTTTAATAACTGATTTGTTGTGAGGATTTGAAACATGATGGGCATTCAATATATGTAATGTATCCAAATCTGTATACTCATAGTTGGGTATATGATGTAGATATGCATTCATATCTTATCAGGCTCAACTGACGCTATTCCTAACAAAATCTGAAAATAACTATATGTATTTGTATCCATAGGTATCCATTCGTATCCGATCTGCAGTTTACACAGACTTAGTAGATTTCATCTATATTTTACTTTTTCTTAATGAAGAATTGTAGATTCATTTTGTAGTCTATGATCAGTAAGAATATTCTTGTGAAAATATGATCAGACTACTTACAAAAAATCAAGTGAGCAATTATCAAACTAAGAATACTTTAATTTAATGGAAGTTGAACTATATACGTTTCATTCTAGAGTGTTTCATTGTCCAAAATACATGAGTTGTTGAAATTACACAAATATATCCTATGAGGAATTATTAGTTTGCCCATAGTACTACATATTATGGTGTTCTAAGAAGTTAGATACTTTGATTGTGGTTAATTTAACTATAACTATAAGTGCTTTAAAGGTGAGGTATCTTTACTAGTAATTTAGAGGCCCTGAAATGGTTTTTTAAGCTGATACTTTGTTTACAAACTAATAGCAACCAAACAAGGCAAACAAAAGGCATTAATTTAACAAAGAATTCACCCTAAGGAGACATACAGTGCCACAAGAATACCTTACCATGACAAAGGTTCTTAAGGAATTTTTTGTGAACACTCCATCCTTGCCATCGCTGATAAGGCTACAAAGTCTAAACACTTCTCGCCTATTAAATCAGACACGAACTTAAATTTGTTTGCTGACCTTTTCTTTCTCTTTTTCGTTTGTGTATTACTTTTCTGAGGTACAGCCTGTAGATCACACAATCACTTCCTTCACCATATGTTAGGCCCTCAACAACTTCCCTACAAAAATGATCTACCTCTAGTAGCTTAAGCTCATCATATATCCGAAACCTCACAAACATCTCCAAAAAGGCCACACATAAACATCCGGTTCAGAGATGTTATAAGTAACACTAAGTCTACTGAACTCTACATGTTTCAAGTTACTCACCTGATTTTGACATTCTATTAATAGATGCCCCTAAGGAGACTCCCAGATTATTAATATTCTGCTGACCTTTATCATCCGAAAACAAGATAAAAAGAAATTTTCAGAAAGGTTACATTTTTCAATTGGAGTTTCTAAGTTCATGCGCGTGCCTTGAGCTTTGATGCTTTTTGGGTAGAGTTTTGGTCTGTTGTTGCCTCACAACGTTTGCTCTTGCAACTTGGTGTTGTTTTGGCTACCCTGTTAGGCGAATTGGGATTGCTCCCAGAATTCTGAGTTGCTCTTGCTGCCTGCACGGATGTCACGGGGCTTATCTCAGTGAAGTGAGCATAAAAGATTGGTGTGGCAATAGACGCAATACATAATCACCGAAATAGAGAGGTTGCAATATGCAGTGTTGTTGTTCCTGACGAGCGAATGCAATGATGACAGCAATCTGTTTTCGTCGACAGACACCATCATCTCATAAAGGTATGCTGCTGTAGTGCTTAATTCTTGAAGGCCTGTGGATGAACTTTACAGCTAGACTCTTTTAATTCACTGTCACTGATGAACGACAACACTGACCAAAACAAACGAGCAGTGCTGAAAATAAATGTATAGAAACGAAACACAAATTGCTGCCAAATTCAAATTTTGGTACATTTAGCCCTAGTCTAAGGACTAATGACTCTAACGACGACGACTCCTGATACTCCACCCTAACCTTGAGACACTTACCATCCACACACAATTGAAAATCAAATAAACCAAATCATAAGATAGATTTTATTTCATGCATGCCCCCGAACAGGTAGGCGTGCATTCTTGTGCCCTTTAGGGCTAGTTTGGATTATTGAGCATTCCCCATGGGATTGGAGGGAACTGAGAACAAAATATGTTCATCCTCCCTTCAATCCCCATGGTGAATCCAAAGTTCCGAACTAGCCCTTACATGGGCTTGGGCTTGGGCTTGATGAAGCTCTCAAGGCCGTGCTCCCAGAGCAGACGGTTGACGTCCTCATCAGTGGCCTGGCGTCCACTGCCATCGTCCAAGATGGCGTCCGCCACCTCAAGCAGATAGCTTCCATCTCGGGGGAAGCCGTCCTCGTCATCCTCAACACCCACACCAGCGGAGGGGGCAAGAGGATCCCCCACTGCCGCATGCAGGGTATGCGGCACCGGCACGTCAGCTGCCATTGGGGGCGCCATCGCAAACGGTGGCACCATGAGTGGCTCCTGCAACGGCGCCATCAGGGGTTCCTGCGGTGGGACCAGCAGCAGCTCGGGATCCAGCGGCGGCGGCGGCAGCACAAACAGCGGTGAGTTCGCCACCATCGGCGGCGCCATAGCAAGTGGCGCCACCATCAGTGGCTCCTCCTGCGACGACACAAGCATCGCCGTCGCAGCTTCTTCAGGTGCGAGCTGTGGCGGAACGGCCTCCATTGCGGCCGAGGTGAGCGAGTTCACGCGCTCGTAGATGGAGCTCCTGAGCAAGTTCACCGCCGACCTGACGGCGGCGGCGAGCTCGGGGGCCAGGTCGTCGAGGTTGCTGCGGCGGCCGAGGCTGATGTCGTTGAGGATGAGGTTGACCTCGAGCTGGCGGGCGGTCGCCTTGTAGCTCTCGAACCTTTTCCCCATCTTCTTCAAGGCCTGGCGCAGGAAGCCCTCGTTATCCAGCCTGTGCGTCTCCTTGGAGGCCTCAGGCAGCTCTAGATATCTCCGCATGATGCCCTTGGCCTCGTCAAGATCTTCCGGCCAGAACGCTGGCTCGGCGTTACCGGGGCCGTACACCACCATGGCCACAGGGATTTGGCAGATGATGGAGAGCTCCTTGGCCTTCTCCAGCAGCGTGGCGCGGCGCATCCGGAAAGTCGCGTCCCGCGCGGCGTCCTGGACGATCCATCGGGTCTTGAGCTTCCCGTGATTACGAGGCATGGCGCTAGCTAGGCGAGGATCGGAACCCCTGGCCGGCAGACGGGATGCAAGAAAGGAAATTTGTTGGCTGCTGATGCTGGTATTGGTGGTTGGTGAGAGTGACGGGAGAGGGGGGCTCCTTTTGTAGCTGATCTAGCAGAGAGAAAAATGGAATGGAGTTAATTGCCTCCAAAAAAATGGTGTAGGAAGCTATGGTACAGTCTATCAGATACTCACTGGATAATTAATTATGTGAATCAAAAAAAGATTTTTGTATTTATCGCTGGATATAGCTAGATACCTTTATTTATTATTATTACGTCTTGTACATGGACAACTCATGGTAAAAAAAATATTGTTCAATTCCATGCATGAAGGTGCAAAAAGGAAAAAAAAACTGAAAAAAAAAAGTTTGCCAATAGAGAAATACCTACTAATTCTCGCTGTAGACACCATATATACGTCATTGTCGCCGTGTGTAAGATCTGTAGAGACTATACTACCACTCATCCGTATATAGAAAACCCCTATTTTGGATCGAGAATGTTTGGTTTAGAGAATTAAACCATTTTAGATGAGGTGATATGTTATGAGTTTATTTCTCAAATTTAAATGAATGATTTTTTTTTCATACTAGTACTAATTATAAGCCAATGAGGAAAGATGTGGCAATGCATTAACTCATTATATTCCACCAACCAAACAAAACATTAAGAAATGGTGTGACGATGGACTGCCTCGTCATTCCACAAAACAAACATCCATAAACTATTGGCAAGGCCACAGACCACCAGTTCATAACAGGTTTATGGCTTCACATAAATTGTTATTGGTTTGAGCCATGAATCGGTGCTGATATGAACGTCGTCATTGGCAGCATTATGGTAGTGTCATGCACTTCCCCCCCACCGCCCCACCCCGGACCCCAATTTACATCGATTAGCACACTTGTCCTTTTGTTATATATCTTGGTGTTTTTCCATATTAGATAATGAGGCTACAACTAAATCTAACGTAAGTGGTTAACTTTAACATTAAAATGCTAAAGTATCCTTTCGTTCCACAAAAAAAAAAGTTCTATATTTGAACCAAATCAAATTTTCTCAAATTTGACTAAGTTCATCGAAAATAAATCAATGATTATGTCTCTAAATAGGTTTACTAGAAAAATATATTCCATGATTCATCTTATACATATTAGTACTTTGTGTATGGATTTACTCAAAAAGTGAGAATTATTGCATTTTCTGGAACAGAGAGAGTATATATGGTCCATTATTGTTTATTTATAAATATATTCCATGATTCATCTTATACATATTACTACTTTTTGTATGAATTTACTCAAAAAGTGAGAATTATTGCATTTTCTAGAACAGAGAGAGTATATATGGTCCAATATTGTTTATTAATAAAAATTATTGCATATTATTGTTTTCAAAATAGTTTGCACAAGAATTCAAGCTTGAAGAAAATTAAGCATGATAATGGACATGGAATCTGCTTGTGTTGGATATATAGTTACACGCTCTACAAAAGTAATATATGTAATAATGTTCAGGTAACATAATTGTGGTTGATTGAACTATATGTTGAATGATTTGGAGGCAGTAAAAATGTTGCCTTAAAGTTCATGCTTTCTTAATTACAAAGGAATTATTGACACACATCGCCTCTCAAGTCTATCTCTATCTCTATCTCTATCTCTATCTCTATCTCTACTCTATCTATATCTATATCAATATCTATATCCATATAAACTAAAAAGAACTAGTGGGTTTTGCCCACCTTCTTTTCAACCCAAACTTAAGTTGTTGGTTCTCCTAGTTTGCTTGATAATAATTTGATTCAATAAAAATTCAATAGTATTTTTTATTACTCAATATTCATGGAAGACCTTGAAACCTATATGGACTCATTTTGAACTGGTCCAGGAGATCAAGGTGGTGTGTCTCTAGGATGATCCAGCTAGTGTAAAGACTTGGCTTGCATACATAGCTTCTCTTTATCCCGAATGTGTTATTGGCTTGTTTTAGATCTATATATAATGGACATAATGCTCAGGTTTTAGAAAGCTTCACAACAGATGTTATTTAGTGTTTCTGCATTATAATATCCCTTTTATTCAGTTACATGTGTCAATTTTTGTGATGTTATGATTTTTTTTTTTTTTGAACTAGGATGACCCTATTTTCATAAACAATGGAAATCATGTACAATGATAGGCTAGGTACAAAAAGTTCAAAAGCAGCAGACTGCAAATAAAAGATCACATGCCTTTTAGGTGACCGACCTGCCTATTACACACAGCCTACACCAAGACATCCCCCCCACGAACGATGGAGACTAATAAAGTTATCATCACTAAAATTTCATTTGCAAGAGTTTAGAACAACAACAACAACAACAACAAAACCTATTACACAAATCAGATTTTCTCCAGATGTGTGCCTTCCTTCTCTTCAGCTGTTAGCTCCTCATCAATGGCAGTGATCTTCAAGTGGGGGTGTTGTAGCGATGCAATCATATCATCATCCGTAGGGCAATGCACAGTAGCACATTAGCTTCCTTCTCCTGAAGACTTGGCTTGACGACACCTGCCCAAAAGTTAAGAAACGAGAGGATCTTCTTGTAATCACTTCACATGGATGCTTAATGATCTTTTTGTCAAAATAGGCTCTGCTTCGACACTTCCAAATTGCTCAACTGGTATGAGTAAAACATCCATCCATTTATCAGCTAGAAGCCACTTGTGTAGCCAATGCCAAGTCTAGCAAGCAATTGTCCCACAAATTACTCTAGTAACTTTTGCACACAAAATAAATGATTATGGTTTCATCACAAGAAGAAAAGTAATAGGTGGGACTACCCTACTAACACTACCGGACTCAGTGGCTTTGCCGAGTGCCAGGGGCACTAGGCAAAGCCCAATTTGCACTCGGCAAAGGCTTTGCCGAGTGCTGCACTCGGCAAAGACCACTCGGCAAAAAATGCGTCGGCAAAGGCGTCTTTGGCGAGTGTCTTTTGTCGGGCACTCGGGAAAGCCTTTGCCGAGTGCCCGACACTCGGCAACGTTGGAACCGAAAAAAAACCCGAAAAAAATGGGAATTTTTACCCAAAAAAATGATTTTTTTTAATCGGTGGAGGCCCCCACGGGTCAGCGCCCACCCATCTTCGGTATTTTTCGCATAAAATTCGCGTATACGCAGATCTCCCCCTGCGCAAAAACCTCCTTTACCACTACACCACACTTTCACTTGTGTATAGATTTCGTTTTAATTCCCAATATATTATACTAAACCAAGTGTAAATTGCTTGTTTGAGGCCCTAAACGAATTCAAATAAAAAAGTTGTAAACTACAAAGTTTCATAACTTTTCGAGATCTACACTTTTAGTTTAGGAAGTTTTTCCATCCGAGGTCGTTTACAAAATTTGAATTTCAAAATTTTGAAATTCAAATGCAGTTTTGCATGACAAGATGATTTCAAATCAAAAAGTTGCCAACTACAATGTTTCATAATTTTTCGAGATCTACAAAGTTTATTTTGGTTGTTTTTCCATCCGAGGTCGTTTGAAAAGTTCGAATTTTAAAATTTTGAAATTCAAACACAATTTTGCATGACAAGATGATTTCAAATCAAAAAGTTGCCAACTACAATGTTTCATAACTTTTCGAAATCTACAATGTTTATTTTGGTTGTTTTTCCATCCGAGGTCGTTTGAAAAGTTCAAATTTTAAAATTTTGAAATTCAAACACAGTTTTGCATGACAAGATGATTTCAAATCAAAAAGTTGTCAATTACAAAGTTTCATAACTTTTCGAGATCTACAAAGTTTATATTGGTTGTTTGGTCATCTATTCATCCGACATGGTCGTTCTAACATTATTCACAAATCTTATATATCTCTCTTGTAGTTTCGTAAACTACGAGAGAGATATGTTAGATTTGTGAACAAATTTAATTTTACTTTGTCATATGAAGAAAAGACCAAAACAAACATTGTACATCTTGATGAGTTATACAACTTTGTAGTTGAAAACTTTTTCATTTGAATTAATTTACTGCTTCAAAATGTGCTTTGAAATTTTCTTTGCCGAGTGTAAAAAAACACTCGGCAAAGAGCTTCTTTGCCGAGTATCAAAAAAAGCAAAGAGCTTCTTTGCCGAGTGTCAAAAAAAACACTCGGCAAAAAGCTTCTTTGCCGAGTGTCAAAAAAACGCTCGGCAAAGGCATCTTTGCCGAGTGCCCGAAAAACAACACTCGGCAAACCACTTGGCACTCGGCAAAGAGCCGGTCTCCGGTAGTGTAATGTATCATTAACAAAGTATCCTTAGTCAGAATGGATCCATTTTCTAAGAGGCACAGGAGAAACTTAATTTTTGGGGGAATTTTGGCTTTCCAAATATGGACAAAGGACAAGCTCGAGTTAGCTTCACATAGTTGCTCATATACAGATTTTTACAAAGAATATCCTAGACTTAGACCATTTCCATCAAATGAATCCATCCAATCATCGATGTTGAGTCCAAGGACATAGTCATGTATACCCTTCCATTATTCCATTAGAATACTAGGAAGCCATCTCTAGAAGTTTAGCTGGCAACGTCTAGCCTCACAGATAGGCACATTTATAAACTTGGCATTACACAATTCAAAAAGGACAGGGAATTTGTTACAAAGAGGGATTTCCCACCCACCAAGTATCTAACTAGAAAATGGTATCATTTCCACTAGTAATTTTGATTGTTTTCTACCCATACGATAAATGTGTCTTGCTTTAAGTCAGAACACATCGAAGAATCATCTTTTTGGCGCTTTACATGACTAATACACTGGTCTTTGGCCTCTCATATACTTAATTTATCTTAACCAATTTATGCCAGATTATTTTCTCTTGTTCTAGCTTCCACCACCCTTTACAAAGGAGGTTTATGTTCATTTTCCTAATATTTTCAATGCTCAAGACTCGATCTCCCTTTTTACTTCTACAAATCTTTGTCAATTTGACCATGCTTAATTTTTTCTTGGTACTCCCTCCTTGCCAAAAGGAGTGTCTCTGTTTGTCCAATTTTTCAATAATACTCAATAGTAGTCTGAGCTATTAAAAACATGTCATTTGATATATTGGAGATTTTTTTTAAAACTAAAGGGTATCATCACACTCCTAGTAATAAACAGACAACTGCCTTGACAAATGTCTAATTCCTTGGCCGTTTTTCATAGATAGGCAGCCAATCAGTAATGTTAAGTTTGCTAGGACTCACAGGCACCCCAAGGTACTTAATTGGAAATTCACCAGATTGGCAGTTAAAAGCTCAGCATAGATCAACAAGTTATCATGAGCATCATTGATCACTAAGACTTCACTTTTTGAGAGGTTTAACTTTAGCCTAGAAAACATATCATAGAAATATAACAGAAACTTATTATTCCTTGCCGTCCATAAGTTGTCTTTAATGCATAGAATGGTATTAGCTTCATAATACGTACACAATAGCGGCACTCCCTTCTATCAAATTACTTTTATTTTTATTTGTACCTTATCTTGTGCTAATAAGATCACATTTGTTACTTTTAATTAAAGAGAATTTTACTATATATGTTGGTCCAAATTCAATATTGTCCCTTAAATTCATTTCAAACATCAACCGTCATTCTAAGATTATTCCTATTGATTCTTCTGTCATTTTGATCATGTTAATACTTCATACAAATTTTAATCCCTTCTATGCAATCCCTATGATACCACATATATGTTAGATTATCTTTAATTATATTGTGCTGAGATGAAATTCTTCTATGCACACTTGAAACAAGAGTATATGTTAATACAACCTCCAGACAATACTAGATGTTCTCTCTTTTCCTCTTTACTCTTTCCCTATTTGATTATCTAACTTTAGTTTTGTATGATTTCGGTTTCTAAAATTGAAGCAATTTGTATCATGTGTAAAACAGATCAACACACTCGTTACCTATTCCATTTTGCTAAAGGACTATGGATTTATTAAGAACAAAAAAAGTCTTAGGCGTGTTTCGAAGAGCTAGAGATATTTTTGTTTCCAAATTTATATCATGCACCAAGCTTTTATTGTTTTAGTTGAATGTGTACAACCACATGTATAGCAATATCAGAATTATATTTTCCCTTAACCTTCATAAACAACTTTGCTTTTTCAATGCATCTTTTTATTGTGCGAATAAAACCATGGTGTAGCAAAGGAGCGAAATGCATAGCACACAAAAAGTATAGTTGTGAAGATGCAATGTTATATGACATGTAGTACATGATGCTTACCAGTCCTATGAGTCATGTGATGTGTATAGGCGCGGGGATAGAAATAAGTTTTCATTGTATCTTTAACGATGCATTTGCACATTCGGCTCATACAACATAAAGAGTTTATAATAATGGAGATTGTTAAAATATATAAGGTTCTTAGATAAAATAATTCATCCTGATAGTACAGTAAATCCAAAAGGTTTACTCAAAAAACTGTTTTTGTGATTTTCTCAACACCCTTTTGAGTTTCCAACATTTACAAGAAATAGAAAAAAAAACTTTCTATTGTCATATGGTTTAATTTGGTTGATGCTTTAATTCTATTCTATTCAGCGAGTTCTCTACTACTCAGTGGAATAAGTTTTGCAAAACTATACCTATATTGTGCCACTGTAACAAGGAACCGCATTGTTTTGACCGTTTCACAAACTACAACTTCAACAAAAGAAAGCTTTGTCATATGTATAGGCACGGACTATTTTCTATTTGTATGATAGGTAGTCCCTACAATATTTTTTAAAATATTATGATTCCTTGTCACTAGGGGGGGGCGAATTAAAAGTTGTTGTGATTTTGTGAAATGGTCACTAGAAGTTATAGTTTCTTGTGACTATGTCACAAGTATTTGTAATTTTGCAAACTTAAATCTATTAAATATTCATGAAATTGTGGATCCATACCTACTTTTAATGTGGTCAAACGTATGACGATGTTTAATGCCATTGGAATGATCTAACTAGTGCATCCCATTGCTTCTCTTGTAGTCAACAGATGTATAGGGTTTATACCTATACAATTCACATAGTGGCTTCGACAAAAGCTCCACACATATGTCATTCCATGTCGGTTAAAACTATTGTATCCTTTCATGAGTTACTTTGTCTTTTTAATTTTCTTATGCTTACATGGGTTTATTGTGTGTCCATATAGAATAATGAGCTAATTTAGCATATTTTGATTTGTCTTTTTTCCTTGCGCACTAACATGATCAGGGACATCTATCTGTGTAAGTGTAGACAATAAAATTGCTATACATAAATTTCTTGACCTACATGAGAAGGTCTTCTTAATGCAGTACCCGGGGCTTAACCACCACCACCACCACCACCCCCCCCGGTAGAGTTTTTTTAGATTAGTTGAATTTGTATAACCACATATATATCCAGCATGTTCTATTAAATGTCTCTTGGCTTTTATAAATATCTCCTTTTTTCTTCTTCTGTTTTACTCCACATCTTTTATGAAAGGTTATTGTGTTATTAAGTATTGTAGGTGAATGAAGCTTTATTAAAACAAAGCTCATAACTCTATAACAAGACCGTACACACAACCCTTAAAATGAAATACAAAAAAAAAGAAAATGATCTAACAACATAGAATCTCAGACTCATGAGATATAACTCAAAACCACCTATCGACTTACATTCCAATTATAGAGAAAAACCTTGACGTCGTTTCTTCTATTCTCTTGCACTACGAAGAGAGATTGCCAAAGCCCATAAAATTCAATCATCCTCCTACAAAAGAAGGTGTCTAATAGTGCATCTAAAACATCTCATATTCTTAAGTCCACATGTCCTTTGCCAAGGATGCACCAAGAAGCCAAAAGCACTTGCAAACACCAAACGACTATGGAGGCGCATTGTTGCTTTGATGTGTAGAAAGCCTATATAACTTCTTTTATTTTTGGGTATCAATTCATGCATTTATACTCATCTCATAAAACATAAAAAGATACTATCATTGGATATGGTTAAATTATCATTCATAACTTTCTCAGGTTCAACAAAAAGTATTTTATAGTGAACTTTTTAAATAGCCAATTTTTCAAAGTTACATGAAACACAAAATTTTGAATAGGCTCCACGGAGCGAAAAACATTTTATTGTAATAATTTTATGCAAACAACCCTTTTCTTATCCAATAGGTTGTACTAGAACAAACGCACAAACCACCCAATGCCCCCCCCCTACACCTTTTAAAGCATATATGTTTAGAAAAAAAATTATAGTAAAAGAAATTTCATTAGAAAACAAAAAGGAAACAAAAAATATACTACGTATTATACAAGAACTTTATTTAAAACACAGTTGAAAGAATATACTTCATCTTTTCTAAATTACAGCTTACTTTGACTTTATCCAATATAGTTCTAAGTGAAACTTGTCTAACTTTAATCAAGTTTTTAAAAAAACTACTTGCTAACGAGTCCATCCCAAAATTTACGATTCACATCACTGAAAAATTACCACGCCTAAATTAACTAGGCCGTAGGGGATAATAAACAAATAAAATGGCTCATAGTGAAATTTTGCCTAATATTAGGTGCAGGCCCATCCAAGCGCGTGGGCTAATCTCTCGCCAACGCCGGCCTCTAGCCTTGTCTCCTTGTCTCGGTCGTTCAAGGCTGGCGAGCCACGCCATGTCCTCTCCCTCCGTCCCTAAGCACCAACTTTGTGGGATTATTAACACAGTATAAAGTTGTCAAAATCATAGATTCTAAATTAGGTCAAAAAAATTAGGTAGGATCGCAATAATAATCATAAAAATCGTAGAAATGTATGCTCTGCTAACTAAGATCGTAACCAAGATGTGTAAAATTTATTTGGCAAAATTGTACGTAGATTTTAACTAGTATGCCTGAACTACTGTCAATACCGCTGGCCCCGGTAGATGATACAGACAGTCGAGGACGGAGCTAGCTGGTAGCAGCCCACGAGCCCTTGTCGACGCAGCACATGCAGGGCGGCCGTTGACCTTGCCCAAATTTCAAGGATGAGAGCACTCCATGTCACAGGTGAATTAACAAGATCAAGTCAACTGTGAGTCTGGAGACAGATGAGCCATATCGCCGCCAGCCACCTCAATTCCGCCATTCCCAACGGCCAGGAGGATGCGTCCATGCACATGGCCGCCATGTGAATGTGTTGTCGACTAGCATGCACAGTAATGGAGGAGTATATATATGTGCACGCCGGCAGTGCCCGGACGGCCTCCACGGCTTGCATGCATAGCAATAGCTAACTAGCAATGGCACGCCTGTTGTTCCTTCGCCCCGTCCTGCTGGCCGCCGCCGCCTGCTTGTCGGTCTGGATGATCTCCAACGCCGGCGTGGCGGAGGCGGGCTTCGGCTACCACTGCGACGACGACAACGGCAACGACTGCAAGAGCCGCGTGGCGTCGATCGTGACGGAGAAGCTATACGGCGACATGTTCAAGCACAAGGACGACGCCGCGTGCCCGGCGCACGGCTTCTACAACTACACCACCTTCCTGCGCGCCGCGGCGCGGTTCCCGGAGTTCGGCCGCGACGGCGACGCCGCCACACGGAAGCGAGAGGTGGCGGCGTTCCTGGCGCAGATCTCGCACGAGACGACGGGCGGGTGGGCGACGGCGCCCGACGGGCCCTACGCGTGGGGGCTCTGCTTCAAGGAGGAGATCAGCCCGCCCAGCAACTACTGCGACGCCAGCAGCACGCGGTGGCCGTGCGTCCCCGGCAAGTCGTACCACGGCCGGGGCCCCATCCAGCTGTCGTGGAACTTCAACTACGGGCCGGCGGGGCAGGCGCTGGGCTTCGACGGGCTGGGCAACCCGGAGGTGGTGGCCGCCGATCCGGAGGTGGCGTTCAAGACGGCGCTGTGGTTCTGGATGACGCCCCGGGCGCCCAAGCCGTCGTGCCACGATGTGATGGTGGGGCGGTACCGGCCTACCGACGCCGATGTCGCGGCCAACCGGATGGCGGGGTTCGGGCTCACCACCAACATCATCAACGGCGGCATCGAGTGCGGTAAGACCGGCGTCCCGCAGGTGGACGACCGGATCGGCTTCTTCCGGAGGTACTGCGAGTTGCTCGGCGTCGACGTTGGGCCCAACTTGGACTGCGCTCAGCAGCAGCCTTACTCTTCGTAATTATTAGTCGATCGACGATCGATCGCCTTCCTCCTCCTCCTCCTGCTGCTGTTTATCTTTAATTTCGATTCCATTGGTGTACTCGCTGATGAGTTTATCTTTGCCAACGTACGTTCAATAATGATGTGATGGGGTTGCTTACAAGTTACTTACAAATCAGGCGGAATGCACAGTTGAATCCTAACGGGTTGCAAGAGTGTACTGTGAAAAGTACGATGAGTGCGCGCCAGCTCAGGAGCAGATCAGATTGATTACATGGACGTAGGGCGTGTTTGGATGCTGCCTCACCGACGGCTTCGTTCGTTTAGCTGAAAAAATAAGTTGGAATATTGTTTTGATTTGTTAAGAGAAAAAAACACTATTTCGACTGAAAAAACAAGTTGAAAAGTACGGATTATAAGACAAGCGAACAGGGCCTGTATGTTTGAACTGTAGTAAAAATTTCATACTCATCGATTATGTATAACTGATCAATGAGTATAAAATTTTTACTATAGTTTAAACATACAATAGTTAACCCACCATAAAAAATTCACCATAATTGAACCATAGAAGCTGTTATGAATTAATTATAAAAAAGCATAAATCTAAAGTTATAGCAAAACATTTGTATTAAAGCATATCATATTATATGTTCACTGTGTAGATCTACTCGTGTGGAGTCTAACAAAATTGGATTTTCTATTTTACTATTTTTCTATGATTTACTATAATTTTTCAAAGATTTAACCAAAATAAATAAATAAAAGAAAAAAGATAAAACCGCTTATAACCCATCAGAGGTAAAATGAATGGTTTTAAAAGTTCAGGGAGGTGGTTTATCGGGTTTTAGAGTTCATGGAGGAAAAGCTGACTTTCGCAAAAGTTAAATGAGGTAACGTGGACTTTTAAAAAAACAAATAGTTGGATCAGGCATAGGTCACAGTCTCAACGACTCACGGTAGCCCAACAGTCCATCAGGAGTACGTGCGCCCCACTGTCTGTCACCTGAACAGAACTTGATCCCTGCTCACTGCCTCAATCTCGATTTTATTTGTTCCAGCGCTACAATTTAATTAATTTCACCTTCAGTGGACAAATGTCACTGCTTGTCTATTTCCAGAAATTTGAGGCCCCGGAGCGAAATGCCAGTTGGGGCTTAAACTTTACAGTATTCAGATATATACTGTAAACAACAATACAATTAATTATAGAGCTAGCTTCAATATGTAATTAAAGGCTTTGTTTGCTAGGATGGATATTCTGACAAAATCACTGGCCTTCTCAGTTTGCCCAAATCAAGACCACGTTGGCACGTGGTTTAATCTGGGAAACAAAGTGAAATATTTGAAGTGCGCTAGTGCTAGACCGCTAGGCTATGCTAGTCGCTAGTGCACTGCTGGGCATGTTTGGTTTGAAGCCTGTCAAGCAGCTTACCCCTTAGACAGGTAACCAAAATCGACGCCCTAGGATACCTGCATGGCAAGCAACTCTGCCGAGGCACGAAACCAATCAAGCCCTCTATGTCTAAGGTCCTATTTGAATCCCTATAGATAATAGCTATTTGCTAATAATTATCTTTTTTATCCAAGGTGCAGCTAATAAAATAGCTAATTATTAGCTGGACCTCTGGATAATAACTACTATCTCACCAGTTGGACAGAATGAGATAATACAGCTAATAGTTATGTTAGTAGCATTGTTCATTGGCTATGCCATCCAAACGCCCTCCAGCTAATAGGTAGTTATTAGTTACCTACATAATATTAGATATGAGTTATTAGCCAGCAAACTATTAGCAAATAATAAATTCAAAAAGAGCCTAAACCCTTTTATCCCACCAACCAAACACCACGACACGACCCCTTTATCCCACCAACCAAACACCGTCTTAGGATAAACATGCCATCAGTTTTTTTTCCAACATGGAGGGAGGAAGGAAGAAATAACAGATAGGTAAATAAATGGTAATACAAAAGTGGACAATATCAAGGGCAAGGTAAAAATTGGAGCGCGAGATGGTTAGGAATTTAGGCCCTCGAGCCATGAAGCCCAAGACGCACATCCATGGATCCTGTCGCAGAGGAGCACACGAAAAGGGTAAGTCCCCACAAAAAAAACGAAAAGGGTAAGACGGTGTGTCCTGGCCTGGGCTGGGCTGGCCCGGCCGTGCCCAGCAGTGCACAGTTTAATCCTAACTAGTTGCAAGAGTGTACTGTGAAAAAGTACGATGAGTGCGCGCCTGCTCAGATCGAGTACAAGTACATGGACATCTATAGAGCTGTAGCACGACGACAAGGTGTGTGGACTGATAGAAATTACAGGATCCATTAGCCATAGATTAGCATATATACTGACATTTTGGATAAATAGCAAACCCTAGAATATGAACTAGTACGGGATTTAGAGATAGAGGGAGAGAGGTTTGGAGATGCAAACCGTCGAGCTTGGAGGAAGAGGAGGAACCCATGCCGTCGGTGTAGTGTCTCGGCGGCGGTGTCGAACGGCGCGGTGGAGGCGCTGTCACAGAGGCGGCGGTGCAGAGGCGGCGGTGAAGCCGGTGGTGGTAGTTCCCGTCGCTGGCAGCGCCCCCTCTCTAGATCGGCTAGGGTTAGGAGTGTAGGTGGGGTTTCTGGCGGTGCGGGTGAACCTCGTGCCTTGTGCCCCGGCCCCCGCCTCCCTTTTTTATGGCGCTGTGCGATGGGGGTCCACCAACCATAGTTAGGGTTGGGCGCCCCCGATCAGGGCACGGATCAAGGCCCAATTTGCCATTGGGCCAACATGGACATCTTGATCTTGCCATGATCTAGTAAGAAGACAACGAACTACTAGAGTCTAGAGTAGACCGTGGATCTAATTACCAACAAATGACCTCCACTTTCAGGTCTTTTCTTTCAGAAGAGCTTCAGGTTTCACGGCATGAAATTTGTAAGTTTGGGTAAGCCGAACCCAATTCCAGTTTCCACATGAGTGGGCCTGGAATTTATATGGCTCCAAGTTTAGGCCCATCAACGCGTGTAGTTGGATTAGGTCACAGTCTCAACGACGCACGGTAGCCCAACAGCCCATCAGGAATACGTGCGGCCCACTGTCACCTGAACAGAACTTGATCCTTGTCCCTGCTCACTCTCGATTTTATTTGTGCCAGCCGCTACACTTTAATTTCACCTTCAGTGGACAAATGTCACTTCTTGTATTTTGCTAGGACGACGTTAAGGCGTGACGGTTCCCATGCGACCCATCTTTAACCTCGCGCTCCTTCCCTTCCCCGCGCTCGTCTCCCTCCCCGCACCCCTCCTCCGCCGCCTCCTCCCCCGTCCTCCACCACCGGCAGCCATCGGCGAGCTGCCTCACTACACCACCCTCCTCCTCCGCCGCCGACCACCGCCTCGCCACAGCGCACTAGGGTTCGCTGGAGCTCCCGCGAACCCTAGCGCATTTGCGGCCGTCTTCTTCCCCTCTCCCTTGCCATGATGGCAACCTCCGCGGCCATGGCACCCGCCCTTCCCTGGCCCGACCGCCTCCGCCGCAGCTAGGGCCCCTAACCACCCGGCCACCTTCCCCACCCCCTGGCTGGCCTGCCTCCCCCCTGTCGGCCCCTTCTATGCCCGCCGGAGTTGGAAAGGAGAGATCGAGTGACCGGCGAGGCGCGGGCTCGTCGTCTCCGCCATGGCCATGCCCGTCATGGATCATGGTTAGCCGTCGCCGGAACCGTAGCCGCGTCGTCGTCATCTCCGCCACGAGCGCATGGCCGTGTGGGAGAGGGAGAGCGGGGTTGCGTGGGAGAGGTGGGCCGGCCCACGTCGCGCCATCCGCGCTCTGCACGATGGTGCGCGTGATAACTTTTGCGATTTTGCTAGCCACCACAGCCACAGGTCGACGAGAGTGACCTCAGAGCAACGGTGGATCTGCACCTGGGCTTCGGGGCTGCAGCCCAGGCCACGGCTCCAAAATGTCAAGAGCGCCTCTTCAGTCTCTGGCCCAAAGTCCAAGCACTCGAACCTCCCCCGGCACCAGTATACCATAGGCCCAAGCAGAGTCAACCAATCTTCAACTATTTAGTTTCAAAAAAAAAATCTTCAACTATTTAGCCCCCCTCTTATCTTATTTCTGGATCCACCACTATCTCGAAGCATCAGATTACCAAAACTGAAATAATTAGGTTCAGTCTATTTTCCCACTGAATTAACCAAATAACTATTTTTTGATAATTTTCAAATATACAAATTTAGGCTATTCAGTATATTTTTTCTAATACTCTCCAAATATATAAATAAGTTATGTAGTCATTTCTTTCCACAATCTTTTCTTCTTTGGTCTCACCAAACATCTACGCTATAACGATGCCAATTTTGCTATAGTTTGAAAGTTTACACCTTAAACTAAGAGCAATAAATACGAGCATGAACACATTATATGATCCCCCACTAGTTGCTGGAGGTCTATTTAGGTTATTCGGTCTATTCAGATTTTAGAGGCCAACCACGAACACTAACCCATACCACGAATGAAAATAAACTCCGAACCAAACCCAAAATAGACCGATCGATAATTCATGTTCAGGTCAAGTTGGTTTTTGGTTGTCGGGGTTCAAAGTGCGTACTCCCGAATATACCTACAGAATTACACTACAAAGCAATTGGATTATCACGGACCAAGCATGAGTTACACTACAAAGCAATTGGGTTATCATATACCTGGGCATGTTTGATTTGAAGCCTGCCAAGCAGCTTACCTCTGAGATAGGCAACCAAAGTCGACGTCCTAGGATAGCTGCAAGCAAGCAAGTCTGCCTAGGCACGAAACCAAACAAGGCGTATTGCATGTCTAACTCCTCATGTTCCACCAACAGAACACCACGACCCCTTTATCCCACCAGCCAAACACATCGCCTTACGATAAACATGTCATCAGTTTTCTCACCTACATGGAGGGAGGAAGGCAGGCAGGCTGAAGAGATAGGCAAATAAATGGTAATATAAAAGTGGGTAAAATCAAGGGCAAGGTAAAAAAAAATTGGAGCCGGAGAGATGATTAGGAATTTAGGCTCTCCAGCCATGGAGCCTAATAAGACGTAGATCCATGGATCCTATCGCAGAGGAATGCATAAGGGGGCAAGACGATGTGATCTGGCCTGGGTTGGCCCAGCCCGCCATCCGGAGCTGCACAGGCTGGTGGGTGGTGACGTGTCAAGTGGGCCTTCAGGAGATGGGTGCGCTACTAGCACTTTAGTCTAGAGTGTGTAAGGCATTTCTCGGATGTTATCGGACCTCAGTCCACGTGTCATGGGATGGATTACGGTGAAACTTGAATTAAATTTTATCTCAACATAGGTAGATTAATACGAATCCAACTACATCTAACAAGGAGAGGACAGAAAGACCGGCGCTGCTAGTAAAGAGTGCTAGAACAGTGAGAGAAGATGACGGCCGAGGCCTCGTTTAAATCCAGGGGCTAAAGTTTAGGGGTGTCACATGGGAGTGTTCGGATAGTAATAATAAAATAAATTACACAAGTTCTCAGTAATCCGCGAGACGAATTTATTAAGTATAATTAATCCATCATTAGCACACGTACTGTAGCACCACGTTGTCAGATCATGGACTAATTAGACTTAAAAATTTTGTCTCGCAAATTTGTCGTAATCTGTGTAATTAGTTATTTTTTTAGTCTATATTTAATACTCTATGCATGTGTCAAACATTCGATGTAATAGGGACTAAAGTTTAGGAGTGTGAAACAAAACAAGGCCTGGAAAACAGAAATCATACACGTGATTCTGACCGAAGACGTGGGATGACAACTTGGGGGCGCTCGCTGGTGCTGTGCTGTCACCCCGCCTGCCGCCAGGCACTGCGACTGCGACGCCCCGGCTCCGGCTCTGACCCGGCGCTATCATTATCAAACTCGAATGCAGGGTGTTTGGCCGGCCCTGTGTCGGTCGGTGGTTGAATCGTGCATGCATCAACAGAATTTATTATTTATATATAAAATTATAAATCGAATAAACTTGTGATGAATCAACAGAGAGGAGGTGTAGTAGTGAAGGAATCAATCTCTGAACTTACAGACAGCAGTAACTTGAGACAAGCAGGACATACCCATGAATATACTAGTAGCAGCTTGATAACTGTTTGTTCGATTCATCGACGATCACACACAAGTCGGCACGGCATTTATTAACAGATAGATAGAATCATACAAGAACAGAGCAGCTTGTGCTACCTAGCTACGACTATAGCAGGTATTGGAATCGGCATCCATACATAACAACATACATATCGGCGAGCTGAGCAAGCAAGGAACAGCAGTAGTAGCTAAGCCAATAACTAAGCTACTTGGTGATGGCGTAGACGGCGTAGATGATGCCGGGGAGGTAGCCGAGGAAGGTGAGGAGGAGGCAGAGCCAGAACTCGTGCCTGCACCCGAACTTGAGGAACACCCCCAGCGGGGGAAGGATGATGGCGATCAGGATGTCCACGCAGCTGGCCGTCCCCTCCGACATGGCTGGCTGCTGCCTTCTTCTCGATCTGCTGCTCGGCGGTGATCTCGATGGACGGATGCAGTACTCTTCTCTCCTGTGCTGTGCTGTGCAGTGCCTTTTCTCTGCCTTGCCTGTTGGCTTGGATGGATCGGATTGCTGATTTCCTTTGGCTTGCCCTGGTGCGGGGAGTTCACTTTATAGACGGACTGACGGACGAGGAAGAGCCATTGACGGATGGGATGGTGACTGACAGCTGTACACCCCGTTCCAGGGCGTGGACGGTTGATCCATGGATGCCGCGTCCGATACGACGACGTCCCGCGACGGCAAGGCAACGCGGTGGGCGGCTGGGGCTGGCGGCTGCATGCTGCCGACGCGCGGCCTGCTGCTTCCTTCGCTGCTAAGCAGCAGCATCGATCTATTCTTGGTCCACGGACGCGGGCGACGCACGGCCAGGCCAGACTTCACTCGCCGTCTGCTTGTGCGGGTGCGGCCGTGCCAGCTGCATGCTGCCGCGCCGGCTGCCGCCGTGGAAGCAGTACCACACCAAAGCACACACGCGTCAGCAATCAACCACCACCACCCGGGAGGTGGACTCTAACGCTGGCGTTCAAAATCTAACGCGGCTAACTTCACCACACGCCATGGTAGGACGCGGACGCGTGCAATGCAATGCGACCTTGGGCAGGGGCTGGGCTACCTGGTCGAGATCAGATGCCGATGGCGTTGGCGTCTTGACAGGCACCGGCCAGGCCGACACGTCGTCGCCATCGCCACCCACATTGCTGGGATTGGTCAGACAACTACTCTTTAGCCCTTCTTTAGTTCCATCTCAACTTCTAAAAATTTGGTACAGTACCTGTCACATCGAATGTTTGCGGCCCGTGCATGGAGTATTAAATGTAGACGAAAAGAAAAACTAATTGCACAGTTTGGTGGAAAATTGTGAGACGAACGTTTTGAGCCTAATTAGTCCATATTTAAACATTATTTGCCAAATAAAAACAAACATGCTACAGTAGCCCAAAATCCAAATTCGTACGACTAAACACAGCCTTAATTGTCTGCATCTGCGGCGTGTACACGTATCCTCGCCTCTCTGCACTCTTCTCCCTCGTCACAGTCGTCAGTCAACATATACCGGCGGCCGTCCGGTTGCGAGATGCTACGGATTCCTATGCCCGAATGCGACGACGCTGCACTGCACGCCACCTATTCGGACATCCTGGCCCACCGTGAACGAATAAAGCTACGTAGAGGGCACATGATGATTTCCATCATATATATTGGAATAAATAAAGAGGGAAATTAAAGGAGCTGACGTAAGGAGCTTTACCCAGCTTTTCGCGTGACAACACAACAAAGGCGCAACGAATCATTCTTTGGCGAAAGGAGGCAAAAGCCGCAAACTAAAACCCAGCCGCAAGGGCAAACCATATCCATCTCTCACATCTCTCTCTGCTACAAATAAATTTGATGCATCTACTAGCTAGGCCCATCGCACATCTCTGCTCTAAATTTTTTCCTATCTTCATGCGACTCCCAGTCCCAGATATGAGTCCATCGGATATACTCCTCTAATAGACCATATTGTTAATTAGACCTGGTCACCTGGGCATCGATCTTAGGCTGCTCTCGCTTGGCTAGCTAGCTCCTTGTGTTCGTCGACATTCTTCATCATCAAAACCTGCTGCTGGTATGTAGTATAGTAATACGTACATACTTCTCCGTCCCCTTCTCTGTTACCATGCACGCATGTTTTCTACGGGGAAACAAATACGCCGTGCATTGTGACTGAATCTAGCACCAACATAACATGCCGTTCTTGTGTGTATTCTGCTCGCAGGTGGTGACGAAATAATGAACTGATCATGGGTTAGGCCTGTTAATTTGCGCCTCCTTTCTTGCTTGATTGGTCTTTTGCACGCCAAGCACATTGTTGCTCACCTGCGTCGACCGTCGTGAGTACTATTCCTTCACATTCTTTTCATTTCTTTCAGCCAATGCTCTTCATCTCTCACATTATCGAAGGCTGTAGTGTACAGAACGTATGAAAACAAGTACCACATGTTGTGCTATTTTAGTTCCGCTGAGTAAGCAGCAGGGGACGGCGGAAAGTATGAATAGTAATCCCAGATTATCTGATTCCACATTCGACAAAACTACATGTGTATTTTTATATCAAAGGCTCAGCCCAGCTTTATTAGAGAGCGCACGAGAGAACCTTCGTTTAAACTACTTCAACAGTATTTTCCAGCGAACGAACAGTGTTTTCCTCTCACAACAAATCAACATAAGTATCAGCATAAGCCAAATTTCTACGAAACGAACAGGGATTGAAGTATCACACACACGACGGACGCAACCGCCTAGAAACCACACAGTATTCACCCAAACAACTACAACGACCTGACTCTACTAAACTCTACTAAACTCCGGTATGATACTATGGGCACACCATTCGTCTACATACAAACACAAGCAATGTAATCCACCAACATAGGACATAAAGTACGTGTTATCTCACCACGAGGGCCTAAACATGTATAAATCTCTATGTTTTGTGTTACCATCAAGCTCTAGGCTCAGACGACATAACCCCATATCCATGTTGACCTTGACAAAACACTAAAAAGAAGATCTTGAATCCATCAAATTTCTCATAATACCTTCGTTTAATTTGTAGTACAGTGGAGGCCCTATGTATCCATCGTGATGCCGCAGTGTCCCTCATAAAGCCAAGGAAAATCCTTAGCAATCAAGCAGTCGAAGCAAAACTAATCATCCTCCGTCATTGAAAACTTCGAAAGGGGAAAGTGAGTACGAGAAGAACACAATTTCAACAAAAGTAGATAGAATTTATGTAGGGTAAACAATAAAAAAAGGGGATAAGATAAGATAAAGGTTTTCAAAAAATAGTTTTTGTAAAAAATATTCCACTCTTTTCATGCAGCCAATCCTAGGATCTCATATGCTACGGTCGTGAAGTTGTAGTACTCAGGCTCTTCATCTATAAATAAACAACGGGTAAGTACTTAAGGTACTTAGAAAACCCTAATGCAGGGGTCACATCCCGCTACTACAAAAAGCTTGATCACCGCAGGGACTTTCACCGCCGGTTATGTAAGAACCGGTGGTGATGCATTTCACTACTGGTTTAGAGGTAGAGGGGGCACAAAAGAGTGACCGACTAGCGGTGATGAACGTTTTCACTGTCGGTTCGACGTTCGATCCGGCAGTGGAGACAGTGCCGGTCTTCGCCGTCATTATCAATTTATCATACGCCGACGGTGAAAACATCTAGCACTTCTTGTTAGTCACCCAATACACGACAATTGTATGTATTACAATTGTATTATGAAAATTGCAATATAACCGCCTGCCTATCCAAATCGTTGGTGATATGGAAACAACCGACAGTGATGATAGTGGCAACACCACCTTTAAAAACATCACACCGGCGATGAGGGACAAGACATCACCGTCGAATCAAACTCAAGCGCGGCGGTGATGGACAAGACATCATTGACGGATAGTACGCTAGACCGACGTTGATGTAGCTATTATCGCTGCTGGATCGAATGCTGACCGGTTGTGCTGGTACCTACATTAACGCCGGATCATAAGCAAGGCCGACGTTGATGCCTCCATCATCACCGTTGGATCGTCTTCCAGACCGGCGATGGTATTCAACCAATTTCCGCCAAACCAAACTCCGCCGCGCCGGTGATGGTAACAATAGCACCGCCGGATGGAACCCGATCCGGCAGGAATAAAGTTTATCACCTCTGATTTTAAACCGACGGTGGTATCCGAGGCTATCACCAGCGACTTTCAGAAAGTGTATACATCTTGACCTCTAACACTATAATATATTCACTATGGTAGTTAAACTATAAGCACTCTATTTTCTTAGAAAAATACTACAATACATAAAATTCTTTGCTTAAAAAATTCAACACCTTAAGTATCATGGTGCAAGATGAAATGAATGATTATCTTTATGACATTGACGTAACTAAGAGTGTAGTCTAAGACCAAGGGTCATTTCTTAACAAAATACAAAAGCAATGTTGATAAAAGAAAAAAAAATATACAATAAGCATTAGAGTTTCAACTTAATATGTGGATAAAAATAGTAGAAACTAATAAAATCTATCTTTGAAAGCCAAAATCTAAACTCATATGTTATGATGCATGTTGGAAGAAGAGCTAACAAAATTTAAGCCAAGGTTTTAGCTAAATACACATATTGGAGACACGTGAAGAATTGGCAATGGGGAATATAAATATAGATGGTGAAACATGTATAGTAATATGTAATTTATCAAAACCGCCAAAGGGCGCCTAGCTCAAACGGTTAGATGACCCAACGGCACTCCTCAGGTCCTGGGTTCGACTCCCCGTAAGAGAGGATTTCAGGCTGAGGTTAAAAAAATCCCCTCGTCCGTCCCCATAACCAAAGCACTGGGGGGCACCGGCCCAATTCTCACTTGGGCGACGGAAAGCCACCGTGAAAGGGTGGGGGCGGGGGTTCGGGGGTTTTCTCGGCCGGGTGAGAAGGTCCTTCTTCTTATTTGTAATGCTGCGGGGTAGTCTTAACCCCCCGATCGAGTTTTTTTTTAATTTATCAAAACCGTTATAGATTACAAGGAATCTAATGTGTACTCCCTCCGTCTCAAAATAAGTCTGTTCTAAATCAAACTACTCTAAGTTTGACCAAATGATACCAAATTGGTATCACTATATACATCATGAAATGTATTTTCATAACATACTTGTTTGATGTCATAGACTAATATTACTCTTTCATATAAAGTTGGTCAAACTTAAGATAGTTTGACTTTGAGTGACTCTATGTCTTCATTTTTGAGACAGAGGTAGTGTTATGTTTACAAATGAACAATAAGATAGAGTGCACACGCACAAAGAAAATCAATTTTAATTAGTTGTAGGTACCGAAATCAATGAACTTTTATCACTTTTCTCTCCAAAGATTCTATCCTATGCAAGAGCAAGGGTTGATGGGCTAAGTTAGATTTGTAATTTGGTATTGGGAGAGCTATTGATAATCTGCGATAGAGACGTTCTACAACTGTGGCTTAACTTTAGGCTGCTAACAGCTTAAAGCCATTAGAGATAATTTTCCTCAGATGGTTCTAAATAACCATCAGAAACAAGATGTCCCACTGTTGTATCTGCATAAACAAGTTTTTAGGCAACGGCTCTATGCTAGTTTGGTCATATAAGTTAAAATGTTATGTAAATATGTTGATTTAAATGGTTGGCCAGCCTATGCATTTGTGATATGAATTAATTAGTTGAAGCTGTATCGAAACAATGTGGCCTCCCTTCGATCATTTCCTTACTATATTAATTCTTGCACTTCAGAAACAAGACGTCCCTTCGATCATTTGTTAGCTTAGGCTGCTAACAACAGTTTAAAGCCATTAGAGATAACTTTCCTCAGATGGTTCTAAATAACCATCAGAAACTAGACGTCCCACTGTTGTTTCTGCAGAAATGAGTTTTTAGGCAAGAGCTCTATATATGCTGGTTAGGTCATAACTTAAAATGTTATGTACATATATGGATTTAAACGCTTGGCCAGCTTAATAATGCATTTATGATATGAATTAATTAGTTGAAGCTGTATCGAAATAATGTGGCCTTCCTTAGACCATTTGCTTATAGCACTATATTAATTCTTGCACTTCAGGCAAAGATGCGTGGGAAATACTTATACGAAGAACGGGATACGTTACTTCACACCCTTCGTACTTGTCCAAATGTACGAGTGATTTATTTTAATGGCTGGGATGGACTCGGGACAAAGGCATTCCTACGATCTATAGCACAGAAAGTTCTCGAAGATCTGGAGGCTCCTTCTGAACAAATATGGTTTGACAGAATAGTTTACTTGGATTGCTCAGCATGGAATGGTAGAAGAGCCATGCAGAGAACCATTGCAGAGGAGATAAAACTTGACAACAAAACGATGGCAATGTTTGATGAGCAAGATGAGGAGGATGATTTCAATGGAGTAGACCAAGGCTCTAGGGATGTGATACGAGTTGTTGCTACAGAGATTTATGAAAACCTAAAGGATAGCAAATTCTTGATACTTTTTCTTAACGGTAGCGATGAGGAGATTGATGTGTCCAGCATGGGTATTCCTCCATTCTCGGAATTCCGTAACCACGCAATGATATGGGCATTTAGCAGAGGGTCGTCACTGACATTAAACTCTAGGGCCAGCATGTCTAAGAGAGCAGGCAAGCTTAGATACACACACAAGTTCTATGATTGCTATTCAGGACTCTGGCAAGTGTATGATCATGTGCTAGATTGCGTGGCTGCTGCCATAGCAGCTGGTTACTCATCTATGCGAAGCATGGACACATCAAATACAATGGTCAAGGACTGCTGTCTGTATGAACTATGCCTACAGTACAATTTTCATAGAACCACCAAATTTGATTGGGTTGCTCATGCTTCAAACTATTGGATATGCGATGAAATCATCAAAGGGGACACTGCAAAGGAGATCAGTGCCGCATTGGGCCGTGAGATAATAACATGGGAGTGTGATGATGCAGTGCTTGATGATGTATTTCCGAGGGTCATGTTGTCAGCAAGATCTCCATATATGTGAGCTGTTAAAGAGGGCGGCTGGGGCTATGAAGAGGGACCGTACCGCTGGATTTCAGTGACCTCAAGGAATATAGAAGCACACCGTATGCAGTCTATACCTGCAGTGACATCCTCTTTCTTCCTGGCATTTGAAACACAAAATGGGCCAACCACATTACCAGCTAGCTTGTTCAGGGATGCCAAAAACCTTGGTGTGCTTATTCTCTGTCATTGCACCTTCAGTTTTGCATCACCTCCTTTCTTTGTGTCCCAGTGCCTACGGTTCCTCGGATTGGATCATTGCTCAGATGATACAACAGGTAGTCATAGAAGTGAGGATTGGGCGACTATATGTGGCCTATATGTGTTGGACCTACGTTACACAGTCTGGAATGAGATACTTTCTCAAGAGAAGATGGAGCTCATGATTAACCTGAGGGAGCTACATGTAGAAGGAGCCAGATGCTGGCCGGACAACACTCACTTGCAGGGGAGGTTACTTAACCTTGAGAAGCTCAGAATTACCAGGTCACAAAGTGAGACATTAGCAGACATTAGCACATCCTTTATGGACAAGACAAAGTTGGAAATACTGGACCTGTCTGGCAGTCTTTGGGTGAATGTTCTGCCAACTAGCCTATCAAAGGCTTGTAGCCTTCAAGTGCTTCTTCTTGATGGTTGTGAAGAACTGGAAACTGTTGTTATCCCTGATGGGCTTCCTTCCTCACTCAGATCCTTCAGCTTTGACAGCTATGGACCAGTATCCAAGCATTGGATACCATGCCCTGACTTGCCCCCCGACAATTTGCGTCCTTCTTCTTCAGATGATGACCGGCAGCAGCAAGCAGCCAAAACCTCCAAGATCTCCATGGAAGGCTGCACTTCATTAGAAAATTTGTTCGTGCGGGGGCTTCCAAACCTTGTGGAACTGGACCTCTCTGGAACTGCAATCAAGATGCTCAACTTTGAAACCATGGTGGTGCAGGTCCCAGGGCTGAAGCGACTGTTTCTACTAGGTTGTGAGCATCTTCGTGGAATAACATGGGACAAGGACCGTTTTAACTTAGAGTTGCTGTGCATTGATACACGAACTGGGATCCGAGGTCGTACTCTGCAGCCATCCCTTGGCCATGGCAAGAAGAAATCCTGCTTTCTACTGCATGCTGTTCTAGTTGATGCAAGGCTCGTTCGGTCCCTTCACTTCCCAATACTTCACCATAAGAACCGATCGACAGGAAGCGGTGGCAACGACTTCCAATTTAGCATCCATTTTACCTCTTCATCCATGAACAGTGGTAGTAGTGCTAGTTCACAACAATTTGAAGGAACCTGCAGTTGCAAGGAGAAGCAGATGGAAGAACTCAGTCCTGGTGAACACATGAGGCTTGGTCATCAGGTCCCAGCAGCAATCCCATACCCGGATGTCCCTGATCTGGGTGGAGACGTCCCAATGCAAGATTTCCCACAGCCTTTTCCTCCGGCATCCGCAGCGGATCGCTACATTGAGGTCGTTCAAGGGAGCCACAACCTGGAGGGCGAACTAAGGTACATGGCTGGTAGAGAAATTATGGTGTTCCATGCTGAGTTCCTGCATGTCCATGATGCCTCCATCGCTAGTAGTTTCCCTGGAGGTTACAGCGTTAGGTGGTGCCGTGTAGAACGGTGCCCTAACATGGAAGCGGTATTCTCTGTGGATTCAGATGGTTTCAGCCAATTGGAGACTTTCTGGGCATCGGATCTGCTCAGGGCCCGCTGCATCTGGAGCCAGAGTCCTGTTCCTAGCTGGATGGGTAAAAGTGATTTCCGTTCCTTCGATAATCTTCGGCACTTGCACCTGCGCTCCTGCCCTAGGCTGGAGTTTGTGCTATACGCTGATGGAACCTACTCCTTTCCGAGCTTGGAGACCCTCCACATCATCCACTGCGGCGAGCTGAGGCATGTCTTCGTACTGAAGACGACATATGGGTATAGAAGGGACATAGCCTACCGCGGCGTGACGTTCCCGAAGCTGACCACCATCCGCCTGCATGACTTGCCACTGCTGCTGCAGATATGTGTGGTCAAGATGCTGACACCCAAGCTGCGTAGAGTCAAGATCAGCGGTTGCTGGGGCATGCGCCGGCTGTCAACGGTCGTCGACGTCGTCGCCACCGGCGATGACCAAGCAAGCTGCAGCAAGCCGACTGTGGAGATTGAGGAGGAGGTGTGGGAAGCGCTAGAGTGGGACGGGGCTGATGCTGGCCACCACCACTCCCTCTTTGAGATGCGCCACTCTCGCTACTACAAGAAGAAAACTGTCAGGGGTGCCCTCCTGAGGTAATTAAGTGCGACTAGCTAGCTAGCTGGGTGTGTTATCTGTGCTGCCAATCGCTTGCGTTGCTTTGCTTTGTTTATCACTGTCGAATCGGCCAAATTGATCATTCGGTTTGATTATATTATTTGCTTCAACGTGTTAAAATAAGACGCCGCGCACTAGCTGATGATGATGTGAATTGTATTGGCCTGCAGTTGCACATCGACTGAGTGTATTAATTTGCTTGATATATAGAATTATTCTGAATTCCAAAACAAAACGAAATGTATGTTGTACGTACGTATGCGGTTGGGTTGGGTGTGTGCAGCTTGTTCCGGCGGGTTTTCTATTTATGAGCATTTGTGTATCTCAAACTTTTAGCCAATGAATTTGCGTGTTTGCTGGAGCTGTATGTGTGATTTGATTACACTCGGGAAGAGACTGCCACCGTCCACGCTATGTAATTTGACTATAATACTATTCTATCTACATGTGCTCTTTATTAGTTTCACATAAAGTGTTAGAAACTCGTTGATAAATATGTCTCACAAGTCACAACAAAACTGCTTATCTTTACTATATCTCAGTTGTGATGGACTTCAGTTACCAATTACTGTAGTAGGGAACATGCCAATTGTTGGATGTGATCTCGGCTAACCGTGACCAACTTGGCACACAACTTAGGTCCACCTGTCAGTGGTTTGCCGCAATCGGTAGCAACCATAAGGGTTATCTAGAGTTGGCACCGGCCCTGGCCCCACAGCGTGTATATAAACAAGACCAAAGGTGATTTCGGGATAAACGCAACTAACCAATCAGTTAGGCGCTGCTAAGGGTTTTGGAAACACGACTCCTGTTCAATAAGGCCAGGCCAGGAGGCTGCTGATGTGCATCTACGTCAAGTTCTTCATCAAGAGATTGGTTTTACACGCTTGTATTGAGATTGGTCCTAAGATTAACTTGGTTTATGGATGAATATTTCCAAAATCCAAATCCAATCTGTTAAGTCTGACACGCTGAATCCGATTGAGTTAGATGCAAATTAGACTCTAAGATGCCAAATTAGAAATATCGAGATGCATCAGTAAGGTTTTACCCTAAGACGTATCGGCTTTGTGCATGATTAGTTCAAAACATCAGTCTAACTGGAACTCAGCGTTAGTGCTTTACTGTATCATCACACCATAAGTCTCGGCTTATATAAGTCTAATCAAAAGCAATTAAGGGTGATTTCCACCGATTAGGACCGGATAAACAATTATAAGGAGCGGATTGGGCAAAACCCGAGCGAAGACCCAAAAATCCCCAAATTTCCCCAATACCAAAGTACCTTACCCAGTAACCCTAACCTTAAGTTGAGCAAACTCACCTCTACTCGCCGTGTAGCCGCCCGCGGCATGAGTCGAAGCCGCCGCCGCACGTGGACTATTGGCGCCCCTGAGCCGGCCGGAGCTGACCTTAACGGCACGAGCGACGTCAGAATGTTGCCATGCGCACGCACACCCGGCCGGCCCTGACCAAACACGTGCGCGCCATCAGACCCGGCACGCGCGCGCGCGAGCCTCGGCGGTCGTAAGCTGGACTGCCGTCGCCGCCTTGTTGCATGCGTGGTGTGCATGTGGATCCGCGGCCCCAAGGGCACCGCAGTGGAGCCCCTCGACGGAACCGCGTGCAGGCTTGAAGCACGCGAGCGCCGGCGAGAGGGACCACGGTGGCACCGGCGGTGGCTGCCCACCCTCGCCGGCGTCGGCATTCGCACGGGGAGAAGCAGAGCATGAGAGAAAAGGAAGAATGGCGCCGCCGCTTGGAGAAGAGTGAGGAATGGCATCCGATCCGACGGCCGAGAGCTCAACGGTCCTATCTTGCGCACGGAGGGTCAGCCATTTCCAGGCCCGGGCCCAGGTTGGACACGCAGGATACAGCCCGGCGCTGCAGAGCGCGTAAGCTGGAACATGATCTGGGCCATGAACGTATTATTCAGACGCTCGTTAGTATAGGCTGTTGCTGGTCTATATTTAATTGTGGGCTCAATTTAGTTTTAACTTTTACTTCGGTTGTTGTAAGTCTGTTTTGTCCTTAACATTAGCGATCTAACTTTGTACTACGAAAAGGTTCTTAGGAGGCTGTCCCTCGCGATTAACATAGGCGGGAAATTATTAATGAATGCTAAATTGTGTTTTTTTACCGGTAATGCTTAGGGCCGGGCATCTGTTTGATCGAACGTCGCCTTTCTGGGCATGCGCGCTACCGGCCTAACAAGCCTGTCTCCTCCACTCTACGTCTCACATCGCTTTCTCAAAAATTTCTCCCCACTTGCTCGCCCATCGAACGCTTCATCATGCGCGTCGCCATTCGTCTCGCCCCCACTCGCATTCGTTTGTATTATTCGCCGCCACGCCCATGTCCCCGCATCAGCGCCCATCCTATGTTGTTTGCTCCTCGCTCCTACCGTCACGTGCACCACTCACGCCTCTCACTCCTTGCTCCCGTAGTCCCACCCGCGCCGCTCGCTCCCGTGTCATCGGCATAGCGCCTTCACTCTCTCTTTGGTATTGGTGGTCTTTGTCGCACACCTCCGATCAGTCCCGGTCGAGCCAAGGGCACCCATAAGCGTGGCCCATGCTGGTGGTGCTCACGTGCCGTCGGCTCCCACCCCAAGGTCGAAATCAACTGGCCCAAACCCCCCCCAATATGTTGTAAATGTATATTTCAAGTGTTTTAGATGTTTCAGAGGTATGTTGCAAGTGTTTATATGGATGTTGCAAAAGTAGGTCGAGATGTTGCATATGTTGCAAGTGTTTCTAGAGGCATGTTGCAAGCGTTTGTTCAAAATGTTTCATCTGTTTCAGACGTATGTTGCAAGTGTCTTTTGATCGGGATATTACGCATGTTTCACACATATGTTGCAAGAGTATGTTCGAAATGTTTCAGTTGTTTCAGTCTTATGTTGCAATAAGTGTTTTTCATGTTGCAAGTGTTTTCTCTGGATGTTACATATGTTTCAAACACATGTTGCAATTGTGTGCAGTGAGCCGTGGGCCGACGGCGGGCGCGCAACGCACCTAGGATCCTACGTGCAGGGCATGCTCGTCCTCATGCCGACTCTCGGGTCCCGCCAGTGCAGAGAGAGGAGAGGGTCAGGAGGAAGGAGCGGCATTTCCCGTAAGTGTGCGAGCGTCCAGACTCGCAGTCATGGAGAGAGAGAGGAGGAGGCCAGGGGGAAGGAGCGGCAGGCGCGGCGTTTTCTGCGGGCGCGTGTGACGGAGGTGGTGCGGGCGTCCAGACACGCACTTCTATCTGGACGTCCGGGCGCTAGTATCTCCCTTTTTTACTTAGATATATTTAAGTTCTTATTAGTTTACTTGAGGAAATTTGGTATTAAAAGCATGTTCCTTGTTCCTTCCGATTGCTTCTAATAGGTTAGAGAGATGGAAATCCCAAAGGACTAAACCTTCCTTATTTTTTTGATTCTATCATTTTTTTATGAATCACAGCGTAGACAAAGAATGATACAAGGTCACATACATGCACACACTTATCTCTATGCATACACTCTACTCGAGTATCTTCGAAACATTAAGCCGGTAGATTTTGAGATTGATAAAATCATCACAAGTGCATCGCTGTCGACGAACATGTTGCCTACAAGTAAAGAAGAGTGTATTTAAAACCAAGGTGAGCAGATTTTACAAGTAACCTAACTAGTTGAGCTTAGTTTGTGATGTCAACTTTTCCTAGCAGATCCGATGGATTATTTTTGCTCATTTTATCCTACTGGCTCCACAAATAAGGCCTATTGTTGTATACTTATTTCATCACAGTCCTTTAGTTCAAAGGCTTTCTGTCTTGAGTTTTGGACATGCATTAAACAAGAGCAGCAAGCTCCTCTAGCCCAAACGAACGATGGCCCAAGCGTCTCCGGTTATCAGGCCCAACCAGCTACGCTTGAGAATTTGCTAAAAAATAAAGCTACGCTTGAGAATTGAGCCATGACACCCTACAACCACACATACGGAATCCACCTATGATTTGTTATTTCCTCTCTCAAAAAATAAAACCTATGATTTGTTGTTCATACACACACAATGTTCATGGATACTAATTACGATCCATGGTGCTACATAGAATATAGAAGGTTTTATCGCCTGCTAATTAATTTGTTGCAACACCATATATAGATTTGAATTTAACAACAGTTTTTCGAGATCTTCGCACAAACCTACACGAAACAAGCGTTGGCGACCAAGAAACCTTCACTAAAACTGCATACCGAAGGAGTATACAACATCTGGACGGTTGTCCTATGACTACATGACAAGCAGCACTAACCATGACACGGCATCAGGGAGAAACACTCACGGCATACAGACATATAGCTATCCTACGACAACTGTCAGGAAGGCATCTTGTTCGATCATCCCACGACGAAGTGGGATTGGAAGGAAAACCCTTCGTTGTTAGAACAATCAGCATCTTGTTCAACAATCCCCTTCAGGACTGCAGTTCTGCATCTGAATCAAAGGGACTGAAGACTTGCAACTTTCTCTTCTTCTGCTCTCTTCTTCGGCCTGTGAAAAAAAAACGTAAATGTTACATTGTCCTTTCAGCTGTAAAAATGTTTGTCAATTAAACACGCAGCTTAGGCATCCTTATTTTCTCTTCCTATTGTGACAAGCATGGCGCTAAAAAGGACACAAAATAACGGCTTCAATAAAAAATCTTTTCTTGTAGTTCACCATACCAAACCGAATTCTCTGATAATGAATGTTCAAAATCAGCTCTTTCCTCACCTACTAGAATTATTAACCTCCTCTTTTCCATCTTCCTCACTAGCTACAACGTCGACAACAGGCTCATACAGGTACCATTCTTTCCTTTTCCTGATACACCAAAAAGAGCAGAATCAAGGCGATTTCAACACCAAACGGCAGTAAACTAGTAACATAGTAGTTCAAACACATAGTGAACCTATCAGCACGATGTAAATGGTACCATCATAACCAAACTACATTAATCATTAACAAATC